GCACCAGTAGACTAAATATCCACAAGTGTACCTTCCAAATGAGATTCTGTGATTCCAACATCTTATAAGGAATTCGAGGGAGAAACTCTGCCAGTTGGAGATGTGTCCTTCCCTTCAGTCCTTGAGGCCCCCTCCTCCGAAAGCAAGACTCCCCTCGGTTCTGTTGGAATGACAGACCCATAAGGCTTAGTCACATTGTGGGGTTAGCAAGCCTGTGTGGGCTAGCCTGGGAACCTAACCACTATTTATAACATAGTTTCTATGGGAAACTATGTTCCAAGTTCCAACAACTGCCTTTCACAAATATGCTGGAGCACAACCTGTCAGTAATTGGGAAAACCTATATATAAAATTATTTTCTCACAGCTTTTAGCATCTCATACACTTGACCTCAGATAATGAGTAATTAATCAGCTTTCAGTGTCGGCTTTACAATGGAAGTTCTTCTGCCCTGAGTAATTGGAGGCCTGCTTTAAGAGCGACTATTACTTTTTATCCCAACAATTGTTTCTTCCTGTTGTCATTGTTTTGCCCAAGGGAGATTGATACTGGCTTCACCTGGGAAGTGATGAATAGCTTGAGATACAAGGTGGTAGCAAAAACTTCATCTTGGTGCTTGCAAAGACAGTGAGAATGAGGTCATCTTTCAGGGTTTAGCTACATCTGTGTCCCAGTCCAAGGACTCTGCCCACAGAAATGAGGTAAACAGTCATATTTCCAGTATTTTCCACTCTCCTTCTGCCCTTGTCCCTGGAATGAAGAACAGTTTTTGAGATAGAAAAGATACAGATTTATAAGTACACATGTAAAAGGATCTATAGGAACTTGTGTGGGCCCCAAGGTCAAATTGAATAAATAACATGATCTTGATCGCCCCAGTATCCCCACAAAAAAATAACCCCAGTAAACTATATCAAGAAAGTTTAAAAATGGCACTCATTTACCTCCTGGTGAGACCACACTCAGGTCTGGACTCCCGACTTCCAGAGGGTCACAGAAACCTTGAACGATGTCCCAGTGGCATGTTCTGGATAGGAAAGAGATCTGGAGACGTCATCTGAATGTAATCATTAGGTTGAACAAACAGGACTCAAAGACAGCAGCTCTCAGATGCCTCTGTGTGCATCAGGAAAAGCTCACAGGAGCAAAATCCAGGAGGAGAAACATAAAAGGGACCTCATTGGTTTTATACCTATAGCAATTAATTGAAGAAATACACATTCAAATCATTTTAATACTTTTAAAGTAGCCAATAGCTAAATTAACCAGAAACCAACCCATATTGCATTTAAACATCAAAGAAAAATATAGCCAAATAGTAAAAGATGGAAAAATAACAAGGATGCATTAAAACAAAACATTAAAGATGTGACTACCACACAGCAATATGGTATTAAAAGGAAATGCACCTAATAACTAAAAATTGCCTATCAATATTTGAAAGGAACTTGCTCTAATTGTTAAACAGAGAAATGCAAATTAAAATTGAAAGGAGATAGACTTTTGTCTAAACCTAACCAACGGATAATGACTTTTAAAATTAACATATCTGTTGTCAAAGATACAGGGAAATGGATGCTTTCATACACGGTGGAATTTTATTTTATTTTTAAAATATATTGAGTTTTTACAGAGAGGAAGGGAGAGGGATAGAGAGTTAGAAACATCGATGAGAGAGAAACATCGATCAGTGTGCCTCCTGCACACTCCCTACTGGGGATGTGCCCGCAACCAAGGTACATGCCCTTGACTGGAATCGAACCTGGGACCCTTGTGTCCACAAGCCGATGCTCTATCCACTGAGCCAAATTGGTCAGGGCAACATGGTGGAATTTTAACTTTTCATATTTGAGGAGAATAACTTAGCCCTATTTATATATTTATATGTCAGCAGTGTTTATATTTTGCCTCAGCAATTATACCTTTAGGAATTCTGGAAAAAATATTACCAGTGTGGGGGCTGGTATTTCTGGGCACCTACCATGTCCTGGACACTGGACTGGATGCATTGCATACTTCATCTCACTGAACCCTCATTGGCCACCCAACAAGGGTGGACATGCAGACCTGGGGGAGCTGGGACCATCCCAGGTCACAATCAGCAAACCACAGAGCTGGGGCTCTGCTTCCACATCCTGTGTCCTTACCACACTGCCAGGCTCTTGCCTCTACTCCTGAGAGGAAACTTCTAGATCACTTGGTCCAACCTCCTCATTTTTGAAATGGAGAATGAGACTTGGAAAGGGTCTCTGTATGTATTGTTTTGGGTTCTGGTGATACCTTTGTGATCAAGACAGCATCCCTGACCCTATGGAGCTTAATTCTAGTTGTGGGAGGGTGGTTGGAACGACAGTAAGCAAGAAAACACGTAAGTAGGAAAATCGCAGGACGTGAAAGGTGCAATAAAGAAGATAAACTAGCCCTAGCCAGTTTGGTTCAGTGGATAGTTAGATCGTCGGCCTGGGAACTGAAGGGTCCGGGGTTTGATTCCCAGTCAAGGGCATGTACCTCAGTTGCAGGTTTGATCCCCGGCCCTGGTTGGGGCATGTGAGGGAGGCAACCAGTTGATGTGTCTCTCTCATATTGATGTTTCTCTCTTTCTGTCTCTCCCCCTCTCTTCCACTCTCTCTCTAAAAATCAATGGAAAAATATCCTCGGGTAAGGATTAACAAAACAAAACAACAAAAATGATGAAGAAGATAAAACTAGTGGATAGAGAATGCCTGGGTGGGTCAGGAAAGCTGTCCCTGAGAAGTGACAAGTGTTGATATTGCAAAGACTTCGGAAGAAGCTTTCAGGGAGAGAAAACAGCTAGAGCAGAAGCCCTGAGGTGCAGACAAACTTGATGTGATCAAAGGACCCAAAAGGTTTAAGGAAGGGAGAGAGCCTCTTAATGGACCAGTTCATGCTCCCCCAGGAGGAGCGAGATGGTGAAGGATGATTGCAGAAAGCCAGCCCACAGGGATGTGCAGCAGGTGGGGTATGATTAATGGTGAGAAGAGGCTGAGCTGGGCTGGAAAAGGTGCTGTCTCCTTGAGGAGCCCTTGGTTTGAAGAGAGCTTCTGCTGTGTATTTTGAGTGATGAACAGAATGTGATGCTGGACATGATGCATTCCAGAGGAAAACCTGAGTCATCCAACAGGAGCTAAAACAAAAAGGAGGTGGATCCGTTGCTGGAACACCAACATTCACATTTGGTCCAACAGAATTCCTCACCTGCAGGGTCCACAGTGTGAGGGTCTTGGCCATCCCCAGGCATCTGTGTGGGTGATCCCACTCTGCTAGTGCCTTGAGCCAAGGGCAAGAGACTGGGGCTCCAGCCATGGGACAACCCAGCCTTGGATGGCTCAGCTTCACCCCCATCCTATGCACTAGACCGGGCCCCAAACCAGTTGAGGTGGTTTTCCAAAAGCAATTATGCCCTCAAAAGTCAAAAATGAGAGAAGTAACAGAGATGAAATTGGACCAGTCTAGATACACACATGCGTGTGCACATGCTCACACACAACACAAGCTGTGTGACCTTGGGCAAGTTTCTGGACCTCTCTGTGCCTCGGGGTACAGGGGTGGGGCATGTATGAACACATCTAAGGGCCCTTCCCAGTACAAACTGACAGTGAATTGATGGTTTCTACATGTGGCTTGTCCCCAGGGAGGGTTTTTTCAAAGGCTAAGCCGTGGGCTCTGGTGACATTTCTGGAAGAGGGGTTCAGAAGTGACTTGAGAAAAGGCCATGGAGAGACTGAGGGTAACAGGTTCCCTGGGGCAGCATTCACTGGACCCAAGTAAAAAGGCACCTTCAGTACTTTGTGACCACAGTCAGAATATTAATATTACCAATGAGGTTTTTTTATGAAATTTAGTTCAATGGGACAAAAGAACTTTTTTTTTTAATGCCAAGTGATTAACAGACCCTGCTATGCTGTAGAAAAGGAAGGAGGAGGGGTACTATGTACCTGGGACCTGCCCTATACCCCATGCTCTAACAGGGCCTCACTCAGGCCCCATGGAGCTTAGAATCCACAAGGCCACCGGGATATGCCCAGCCATCGCCTGTCCCCCTCTCTCTCTCCTAGACCACACCCCAAATTCCCTGCCTAAATGGCTAGAACTGCTTCTGGTGCCCAGGGAACCTCTTGCCTGGGTCAACCCTCTTGAGGGTGAACCACAGTTCTTTGGTGGTCTAGGGCAGTGATGGCGAACCTTTTGAGCTCGGCGTGTCAGCATTTTGAAAAACTCTAACTTAACTCTGGTGCCGTGTCACATATAGAAATTTTTTGATATTTGCAACCATAGTAAAACAAAGATTTATATTTTTGATATTTATTTTATATATTTAAATGCCATTTAACAAAGAAAAATCAACCAAAAAAATGAGTTCATAGGTTCGCCATCACTGGTCTAGGGGCTACTGATTCTGGAAGGGGGAAGAGGTGTGGCCTGAGCTTGGCTGGGCCGCCGAGGTGGACTACAGAGCAAGGCCAGCATCCCCATTCTGCCATGTCCAGCCTGAAGCTCTGAGGAACCCTAGAATTTTGAATTCAGACTTGGCCTTGCACATCATTAAAGGCATATTTATTATGATGGGGAGATAGAAAAGATTTTATTGAATAGTCTGTTGGTCTGTCTCTAATTTGCATATTTAGACATAAGTACGTGGACCTCCACTGGTACTCTAGCCCCAGACCCTGCAAATGTCATGGGGGAGCCCTGCTTACAGTTCATGATTCCTTCCCCTTAACCTTGCTAGATACCAGGGTTGAAATCTCAGCCCTGCCACTCACCAGCTCTATGGTACTAGGCAAGTCCACTTCCCTGAATCATTTTCCTTGCCTGTAAAATGGGGGTGATAATAGTACCTATCATATGAGGTTTTTGTGAGGATTCAATGAGATAATGCATATAAAGAGCCTCGACGTTTGAGAGTCTCAGCTCTCGGCATTGTGTGCCTGATGTCCCTGCAGTTGTAACTTGGTGTCCCCCAACCCTTTGTTTTCCAGACGCCACAGCAGTACGAGAGAGAGTACAACAACAAGCGGTCAGGTGTGGGGCCCAGCAAGTTCCACGGGTATGCCTACGATGGCATCTGGGTCATCGCCAAAACGCTGCAGAGGGCCATGGAGACACTGCATGCCAGCAGCCGGCACCAGCGGATCCAGGACTTCAACTACACAGACCACACGCTGGGCAGGATCATCCTCAACGCCATGAATGAGACCAACTTCTTCGGGGTCACGGTCAGTCCTGGGCCCCGGGCTCTGCTTTCTTAGTGCCCTTTGGATACATGCAAGGCCAGAAGGGCTGTGTCAGACACCCTCTGACGCTGGATCCATTCTCTCAGATTGCTGACATAGCTTCCTGTGGGTCGTAGGATTTCAGGGCTGCTGAAATGGGAGGTGCAGTGACTCTCTGACACGTTGGGAAAATGCTTCTCTGTAACTCATGAATTAGAAAAGCTGCACACAGATCAGGTGGAATTCACCACGCCGGGGGGTAGGGTGGGTAGCAGAAGCTCAGTTAGATTCAAATCTTGGACCTTCACTTTCAAGTTACTGTCTTTAAACACAGATTTTTCATTCTCAGAATGAAAATAATAACTACCCTGTTAGGTAGCTATAAAGATTAGCCATTACAGAGTAAAAACTGCTAATATTTGTTGAGCAAGCAACTTGCTCTGAGCCTCAATTTTTCATCTGGGAAATGGAGATAATGATATATGTCTTGAACAGAAGTTGGGGAAATTAGCAATGATAATAATGGCTAATATTTCTTGGATGCTTATTATGTGCTAGATACTATGCTAATAAGCACTTTTTGTAGATTAGACTCAATAATATAGGCTCAATGCTAGGCACATAGTAGGCAGAGGGGTAGGGTGGGTAGCAGAAGCATAGGGAATGCTAGCAACTGTTATTGTTAATAACGGTCTCATTGCATCCCTATGCCATCGTAGAAAGTAGGACTGTTATTGTCCCCACCAGAGGGGAGGAACCTGGAGCTCAGAGCATTTAAGTACTAAATCTAATCAGAGGTAGAGCTAGAATTTGAATTGGGTCTAGCTCTTAATTGTTGTATTACACAACTTCTCATCATGGACCTAAGTGGTAGTTATTTCTGTCTCATCCTGATGTATTTGTCATTGACTCTACTCCCAGAAAATATGAAAAACTTTTCTAAAGAATAAGTTGAAATGGCTAAAGTGCTGTCTTGAGTTTTAAAAAGTCATTTACAGAATCAGTCTGTCTTGGGACAGTAAGAGGAGTAGATGAGTTGGTTGTTGCGTTTCTTAAATGTTCGTATTCCTTTGTGCATGCACTCGGGCTTGCACTGTTGGTCTGGTGGGCCAGGCACGGAGTGCCTGTGCAGGTGCTGGGGTGTAGACTGTGGTGTGGACACCAAGGTGAGTAGGATGGGCTCTGTGTCCTGGAGCCTGTAGTCCAGATGCAGGGGCCAGACCTGAACACAAATGACAAGCGGCGTGTGTGTGTGTGTGTGTGTGTGTGTGTGTGTGTGTGAGAGAGAGAGAGAGAGAGAAAGTCAGGGAAGGCCTTTGGGAAGAGGCAGCATGTGAGCTGTGCCTTAGGCATGCAGAGAGGGCCTGGCAGTCGGGCCAAGTGGAGCGAGATGAGCAAGAGAGAAGCACATGCGTGTGTGCAGGGAGTGTTAGAGAGGAGGGTGACAAGGCCGGGAAGGTATATTGGAGCCCATTTCTGAAGGAACAAGCTAAGGAGACTGGCCTTTCTCTTAAAGGTCAAAGATTCTCCGAGTGCACCCGGGCCAGCAGCACCAGTGTGCCCGGGAGCTGATTAGACATGTAATTCTCCAGCCCCTCCCAGGCCCACGGAATCAGAATCTCTAGGATGGGGGCCCAGTGGCTGTGGTTAACAAATCCTCTAGGACCAGTGGTCGGCAAACTGCGGCTCTTTGGCCCCTTGAGTGTGGCTCTTTCACAAAATACCGACTTCTGCGCATGGGCCACGAAGTTTCAATCGCACTGCATGTGCGTGCCCGCACGTGGTATTTTGTGGAAGAGCCACACTCAAGGGGCCAAAGAGCCGCATGTGGCTCGCGAGCCGCAGTTTGCCGACCACTGCTCTAGGTGATTCTAACGCACACTGGAGCTTGAGAACCAGCAAAAAGGGTGTTTATAGCACAGCCTACATTCAGACTGGAAGGTTTAACAGCTTTCCTCAGAAGAGTAGTTTTAAAATGTTTTTTTTTTTAAATCTCAGAACCTCTTATAAAATCTCACTTGATACCTGGTATATTATACAGATGAAAGGAGCTTCTCAGTTGAACAGAGGAGGAGCTCTGCCTGTTCACCCCTCTCCCCACAGTCCCCACCCAACAGCCCAGAGACCCCCTCCGAAAGGCCCCACAGAGCACCAAAGACCTCCGAGGGCCTTTCTCTTATGGTACAAATCCAGAGTGAGACTTAGAGAGGGATGAGGTTCCCCCAGGGGCCCACCAGTAACAATGTACAGCACTGTCTCAAAATACTGGCACTCTTATTCAGGCCATCTTCTCACACGGTGCTTCTTACTTCATAGAATGAATTCATAGGACCCCAAGTTGAAATGGCTGGATAGAGAGCTACAGAATCTAGGAAGCATTTTGCTGTCTCTCATGATCCTGGAACTCGGCATTTTGCCTGAGATATCTTAGCTGGAGATCATTTATAACTACTTCTAAGTGCTCCCTTTCATCTAAGCCAAATAATTCATAATCCCTACTTGATGAGCAATTAGATAAGACTGCCTGAATCGCCTTACATGGCTTGAAGATGAGTTTCTTTTTAATGGGAAATTCCTTGACACACATTTATGTCTGCTCCGACTTGTGACTCATAATTCAGCGAATGGCAGAACTGAAAGTGGTCTTATAGATCCTCACATTCAACTGCCTCGTATTGTAGATGAATATCTGAATATAGACAGGGAGCTTTCAAAGTCACACAGGAAGACTGATTCAGCAAAGCTAGGTCGCTCCGATTGGTCCTGTCCCCACCACACACACACCATCTCCTCCTCTTTGTGCAAGTCTCCCTTTGTTGAGAAAGAGATTGCAGTAGAGAGACAATTCTCCACTCCCCCCCCCCCGCCCCACCCCGCACCCTTCCCCTTATGTTAAAATGTGCTTGTCAGTGGGCTATAGACAGGTTTCATTAAAATTGTCTTCCATTCAGAGGAAAAAAGGATGTCTTCTGACAAAATAAAAAGTATCTCTGTGGTCCAAGGAAACCACAGAAGGCCAAGTTCAGTCATAAAGAAAGAAAGGGAAGGAACGGGAGGTGGAAATAAATGGAAGCATTTCCTATTTGCTGAAGGGTTTTCATTATACAGCACACACAGAATCCATTTTTCCACTCTCATGCAGACACTTTATCCTGGGTCACCCTCATTCAGCATGTTTACTATACAGAAAATCGTTTAAACACATTAATTATATCTGTGACTCAATTTCAATTGATTCAGTATGCACACTCTCGGCTGGGAGCTGGGCCTGTGACTCCTGGTCGGCATGTGGAAGAAGAGAGTTTTGCCACGCAGCCCAGACTGGGAATCTTATGTTCTTAAGAAACTCTCTTCCCAGTTACTCTTCTCAGGGGACACCCAGAAATGGGATTCTGTGTCCACACCTGCACACCGATGGCCTAGGGATCCTGCCCACCTCGGATTCCCTAAGGACACGGTTCTGATTTTCAGCCCTGTTTATCACCTCTTTATGGTTTGCTTTTTAGGTCTCAAAAGCCCAGAGAATTCTGAGCATCCCCCTCAGCAGAGTTTAAGGCAGTGATTCCTAACTTCTGTATACATGAGACTCTCCCAGAATGTTTCATTGAAAATTCAGATTTCCCAGCCCTGCCCCCAGAACTTATGATACAGTGTTTTGCAGTAAGGCCAAGGAATTCACATGATTAACAAGCAGCCCAGGTGATTCTCAAATAGCAACCTTGAGAATTGCTTGGGGCTCCAGTGACGTATGTCTGCGTGACCATGCCCATGTGCATGTATCTACACACACACACACACACACTTTGATTTTAAACCTGTCAGAAATGTATTTTGTTCCTGCATTCATTCACTCCTTTAGTAGACCCTGCGCTGGGTACTGGGAGCTGGGAGCACAGACAGGAATAATGTATGGTTTCTCCCTCAAGAGCCCCCACCTAGTGGGGCAGATAGACAAGTAGAGGAATATTTTCTGGGCGGTATCCTATGTCTGCCCAAGGCCCTTGGAGGAAGGACCCCATTCTGCTTACAGGAATAAAGACCAGGGAGCTGTCCTCAATTTTCCTGCAGTTGAGTGGGCAAAACTACATGTGTGGGTAATTGCAAGGTGCCCATGCTGTGGGTGCTGATCATCCTGTACCATGTGCTCGACGCCCAGCATTCATGATGGTTTACTATGCTGTTGGAGCCCCAGCCAGATCTCCTGGGATCTGTTTTAGGGGTTTGATTAGGTTTGTCCATCCCCAGCAGTTTTAGGGGCCTTTGTTAATGGCTCACACCTTGGGCAATTGGAGCCTCCTAGCCTGGAGGTGCCTGGGACTGACACCCAGCCCAGCCAACAGCAGTGACTGGTTGGCGTGGTGGTTCACCACCAGTGCCATTCACCCTCCACAGCTCCCCATGGGGTTGCGCTGAGGCTAGGCCTCCCCTGAAACCACATCCGAGCTTGGCCTCTTCCCTTTGCTTCTCTCCCTACAGGTTTCTCCTGAGAACACATCCTTCATAAATCACTTGCACACAATTCCCTGTCCCAGACTCTACTTATGGGACCTAATCTAAGACACCCGTGTGTCTTTGTGGGCAAGTTAAGCATTTTCAAGAGGGAATTTTTACTGTAACCTCATTGTTATCTATGTATTAAGCCTCGCACCAAACCTTCCCCGTTGCCTCTCCCACACCAGGTTCCAGACTCTTCTCCCTCACACTCCATTGCACTTTTCTGTCACAGCCAGCCTGTGGGAGAGCCAGATTTGTCGCCTCTAGTGAAGTAGAGCTCTCAGATTTGCAGGGACCACAGCATCTCATCCCTCTGGTCCCCACATACTTCACCTAGCACTTCACACCTGCCAGAAGCTTGGTAAACACTGGTAACCTTGAGTAAATTTTGTTGGGTTGAATCCACACATGACTGAGAAATTCAGTCCCACTCTCCGACACAGCTGCCTTCCGGGCTTTTATAAAATAAAAAGCCTTTTCAACACAATAAATAATCAGAACTGACAATG